TTTCCCCTCCTTTTCTTGAGGGGATCGCTCTCCACTTCCTCTTCCCACTCCTCCTCCTCCTCTTTGTCCTCGTCTTCCTCGTGCGAGGAGACATGCTCGGTCTCTCCGGACACATCTTCCGGAGGACCTTTGCGGCGGTGCCCGTCCTTGGGCCCCTTGCTCTTCTTCTTGGCCTTCTTCTCTGATGGCTTATAAGGCGCTGGGACCAGCATCTCCTCCAGCTGAGGAGTGACTGGGTTTTTGGGCAGCGGAGCCGGACTCTTGATCCACTCCGACTTCTTGGTCCAACCCTGTAACAAAGGATGGGTTGGTGAGTTCGACATAGATCGAATATGTATATGAACTAGGTATATCTTCGGAAATATCGAACACTTACTAGAGAGGCCGGATTCGTGTCGTTGAGGCTGATGTCTTTGGTCTCCATGGGCCAGTTGCTCTTCCGCACCTTGAAAAACAGCTTCCACATTCCCTCGTGCATGGTGCCGAGGAAATGTTGTAGTGCCAGCTGCTCCTCCGACTTGAATTCCCAGGAAGCCCGGTGCTGGCAGGGAAGAATGCAGCGGAAGAGCATGTTCTGAACCACGTTGGTTAGACCAACGTTCTTCCCCAACACGTTGGTGATGTGCATTTGCAGCGCCTGCACCTCCGTCTGGGACCCCCAGTTGAGGCCCTTCGCGTTCTAGGAGGTGAGCCCCATGGGGGGTCCGGATCTGAACTCTGGAATGGTCGCCCACTTAGTGCGGCGCGGCTTGATGATGTAGAACCACTCATGCTGCCATATCTTCATGATTTCCACAAAGGCCCCCTTGGGCCATGTGGTGTTCGGCAACTTGCTAATCATAGCTCCGCCGCAGTCCGCATGCTGCCCGTCGACCACCTTCGGCTCCATGTTTAAGACCTTGAGCGATAGGCCGAAGTGTGGGTGGATGCGGAGGAGAGCCTCACACACGACGATGAACGCCTAGATGTGGAGGAAAGAGTTCAGGGCTAGATTATGGAAATCTAGCCTGTAGTAGTACACGAGTCCGCGGACAAAGGGGTGGAGTGGAAACCTAACCCTCTAAGGAAGTGGGGAAGGAAGACTACCCGTTCGCCGGCTTCCGGAGTGGGAATGACTTGACCTTCGGGGGGAAGCCTATGCTTGATATCAGCGGCGAGATACCCCTCACTCCAAAGATCTTTTATTTCCTTCTCCGTCACGGAGGAGGCCTCCCACTTGCCTTTGGAGCCAGCTCCGGCCATGGTCAGAGGAGGTGGTGGTGGTGGTGAGAAAAACGGAGGCTTTGCGGGCGCAGAGAGCTTGGGAGATTAGGAAGGCTGAGGAGATGTGAAGGCGTGGGGGAGAAAGTAAAGATCTATTGCCCTCTTATAGGCAGTAAAAATGCCAACCGCCCCCCGTTCGTGCCTTGAATCTCGCCTATTCACAATGAAAGAATGCGCTGCAAATGGTTGGATTACCCAAGTATCATTGATGTGCAATCCCGTATTAAAAGGGCACGATCTCTGTTTGACAGGACATGCCAATGGGGCGTGACCTCGAAACACGGAACGCGGGATGCGAAATGGTTCAAAATGCCGAAGGGTCAAGCCTGATGCTTCACCGAAAAAGTTGTCATTAAAAGACATTGTTCTTGTTTTTATATATCTTGCCTTCGCGGCTAAGGGTTGTGTTTATTATAAAAAGTCGGATACAATTCTTTTTACAGAGGAAAGCTGATGTGTATTCTTCAAGGAGCCCGCCTTGCAATGCCGAAGACAATTTGAACGCCAAATGTATCATCATTGAAGACTGGTTCAGGGGCTACTGTGGGAGTCCTGGACTAGGGGGGCCTCGGGCGTCCGGTCTATTGGATGTGGGCCGGACTGATGGGCTGTCAAGATACAAGGCATAAGATCACATCTCGTGTCCGGAAGGGACTCCCGTATGTGTGGATGGCATGTATAGGTGTCCGGATATGTTAATCCTTTCTCTAAAACCAACTTTGTACAACCCTAAGCCCCTCCGGTGTCTATATAAACTGGAGGGTATATCGGAGGCAGGATCACAACATTGCTAGGCTAGCTGATCTAGGGTTAACCGAATCAATCTCGAGGTAGATCAACTCTTGTAACCCCTATACCCTCGAATATAATCAAGCAGGAGTAGGGTTTTACCTCCATTAAGAGGGCCTGAACCTGGGTAAACACTGTGTCCTTTGTTCATAGTTACCTTCGGTCCTCAGACATACAGCTTGGCCTCCTACCCGAGATCTGCCGATTTTGACACCGACAGCCACTACGGCTGCTGCCTCTCCTGCCAGGATGCCAAGCTCCTCTGCCGTGGGTACCAGTTCGGCTGCTATGGCAGCGAATTCTAGTGCCATTGCAACCACTTCTTCAGGTGCAACTCTAGCCTCGCCCAGTTGGGCTGCCACGATAGCCAATTCGGATGCCACACCAGCCAGTCTCGACGCTGCGGCCACTGTCTTCCACGACTCTCCAGTAGCCGCGCCCAGCTCATTGCCGTCGAGCTTGTCGCTTCTTCACCACCGGCAGCCCCAGTTGCACCATCGAGTGTTGCCCCATGGCTCCGTCCCTCCGACGTATCCATTCACACGATGACCACTCATGCCCGTCATGGTCTACTACAGCCCAACCGTCGCCTTGAGGATGCTGATGCTGCCATTGTTGTGCCATCGTCACTTCCCACATCGGCTCGTGCGACTCTCCGTGATCATGCGTGGCGTTCTGCCATGCAAGACGAGTATGATGCTTTGCAGTCCAACTGCACCTGGACTCTTGCGCCTCGACCTCACGGTGCTAACATCGTCATAGACAAATGGGTATTTTGGTATAAACTCAAACCCGATGCTCCTTGGATCGCTATAAAGCACGTTGGGTTGTTCAAGGATTCACACAACGTGCTGGCATAGACCTTGATGAGACTTCTAGTCTCGTTGTTAAACCTGCCACGGTTCGCACGGTCTTGCATCTTGCCACCTCTCACCACTGGCCGGTACATCAGTTCGACGTATCCAATGCTTTTCTTCATGGAGTTCTACATGAGCGTGTCTACTGTGCTCAACCTACGAGGTTCATTGATGCCACCAATCCTAAACATGTTTGCCTACTGTCCAAATCACTTTATGGGCTCAAACAGGCTCCTCGCGCATGGTACATGCGCATCGGTGATTTTCTTCGGCGCCTTGGGTTCACTTCGGCTCTTTCGGACACCTCACTGTTTGTGCTTAGTCGTGGTTCAAACATGGCCTACATTGCCCTCATCGCTTCCTTGGCAGATTTTCTTCGGATGATCAATACTTCTCTCAACACGAAATTCAAGATTAAGGATCTTGGCCCTCTTCATTTTTTCCTTGGTGTTGTCGTTCATTTTATGGCCTTTAGTTTCTTTCTTTCTCAAGGGAGATATGCTGAGGAGATTCTTGATCGCGCTGCTATGTTGAATTGCAAGCATGCCTCTACGCCTGTTGATACTAAGCCCATGTTTCTGCTGCCTCCGGTGAACTTGTGATGGACGCGGCTTTCTACTGAAGCATTGCCGGTGCTCTTCAATACCTCACTTTGACACGACCAGAGATTGCCTATGTCGTTCAGCAGGTTTGTTTGCATATGCATGCTACGCGTGATGCTCATTGGGGATTGATAAAAGCGTTTGCTTCGTTATCTTCGCGGCACTCGGATCAGAGGCAACCCCTCCATCGCCCTTGCTGCGTACTCTGGCGCTGACTGGGTCGGCTGCCTTGACACTCGTCGCTCTACATCGGGTATTGCATCTACCTCGAGGACTCTTTGGTGTCTTGGTCTTCCAAACGCCAACCTACCGCTCCCCCTTCGAGTGTTGAGGCCGAATACCGTGCAGTGGCCAATGCCGTGGTTGAATGTTGTTGGCTTCGATAACTGCTTGGCGAGCTTCATTGTGTTGTTGATAAGGTTTTTGTGACGACGTCTCTACAGTTTACCTCTCAGCCAACCCCGCTCATCATCGCTGCATGGAGCATATGAATTGCTTGTACGCGAGAAGATAGCCTTGGGACACTTTTGTGTTTTCCATGGTTCGACGGCTCATCAACTTGCGGACATCATGATCAAAGGGCTTCCGACAAATTCATTCGAAGCATTTCGATCGAGTCTTGGAATCACTTCGGATTATGTCTCGACTATGGGGGGTGTAAGAATACGCAGCATGCATTAGAGATATTCTTATTGTAATCTTTTCCCTTCCTATCTAAACCTCCACATCTATCCTTTCCTTCTCAACTAGGATTAGATCTTGGAGGACAAGCATAGGCTGGTTTTGTAGGTGTGCATACACGTGCCCTTTGGGCCCTAATGCATGGGATTGATATTCTCCCAAACCTACTACGATTATGTTACTCCCACTATGAATAGTTCGAAAAGCGGCAGGCTAACAGGTGGGACCGCCAGCCCTAACGACATGCTACCTGCTTGTGTACCCCGGTAGAGTTACGGCCATAAAATCGTCCCCTCCACTCCTCCGACTCCACGTGCACCCTACACTGCCGTTCCCCCCAACCCAAACCGGTCCATCACTTCCAACTCGGCCGCCACATGTCTGTGACACTAGCCAGCCATTAAAAATCCCCTTCCCACCTTTCTCCCCCCGCGCCCTCCTCTCACCCTCCTCTTTGGCTCTTTCTCACCAGCTCCACCGCCGCCTCCTTCTCCCACTACTCCGCCTCCGATCTCCGGACCCTCCGGCGACCGGGCCCCACCACCCGGTCTCTACGCCGCCGCCCAGGCCCCACGTGCCAAACTAGCGCCGCCGCCGCCATTAACCAACTTACCTCCCATCATTCCTTCCCGATCTGCCAACTAGCCAACCCCACTGACGTGCTACGCCGCCGCCCTCTCCCTCTCCCCCGCCAACGCGCTTGGCCTCCCTTGCATCCTACTCCCGCCGGGTCCTATGCCCGAACCCTAGAGCTCGCTCGCCCAGGGATCGACCAAGTGATGCGCGGATCGGGGCGGGCGGCGCGGCCATGTTGGGCCGCATGAAGTGCCTCGTCGGCGGCGCCGTCGACCAGGGCAGCCCGCGCGGAGCCGCCAGGAGGGTCTCGCCGGCGTCCGGCCGCGTGCACAACGCCGCAGCCGCCGCCGCGGGGCCGGGGGACAAGAGGGCCATCTGCTTCCGCCCGCCGGACGTCATGGAGACGGTGCACGAGGTGGCCGTCTACATCCACCGCTTCCACAACCTCGATCTCTTCCAGCAAGGGTACATAGCCGTGTCTCGTGGAGATGCTTGCTTTTGGTATTTTCTTTTCCGTGGGTGTGTTCTTTTCTTGGGTTTAGTTTCACTCTTCTCTTTTCTGACTACTAAAGTTCCAAGTGGGTTGAGTTTAAAAAGTTTCATTTTTTATTGTGACATGTAAAAAAGCGAGTACAAAGTTTCGGTACAAACTTAGTCAATGGTTTTGGTTTGCCGGAGCATTTCGTGTTAATTCGGTTATTCTTCTTTTCTTTTTTGCGAGTCAGACCTTTTCCACCCTCGTACTGGCCTAATTCTGAGTTTGTCCATACACATTTTTGTCCATTTTTATGCTGCGAGATGGCATGCAGATCTTTGTCTCCACATTTCTGGATCTCCGAACCTTTTGTATTAATGTTAACTAGGGAGTGCTGTTCTTTGTTGTGAAACGAGTATTGGGTTATGTGCAGATGGTACCAGATGAAGATTAGTGCAATGTGGGAGGAGGGTGAAAGCGGTAGCAAGACACCAGCTTCACCCGCAAGGGTGGTCCAGTACGAAGGTGCGCCCATCTCTTCTAACCAGGGACACTATGATGCGATCCTCTGCTTCAGTGCTTCTGTTATTCACATGATTTCAAGATGTTTCCATGGAAATACATGTCTAAATTGGTACCTTTGCAATGCATGTAGTGAGCTAAAAGTTCATACCAACTGTTTGATTGTTGTCAATATTCAGTACTATAGTCGATAAGAACCATGCTACTGTTTTCTAGTAGTAGTGCAGAAAATGAAGTCTACCTATGTAAATGAGACTATTTGTGATGGTTTTAAGCTCTACCTTGCTTGTATAAATCTATCAACCTACCTTGTTGCAATCTACTTCTCCTTCTTAGATAACATCAAGAGGCATGTTTTTATAGCTGGATACGGACTGTACAAGCATGTCAATGTCGTGCACTATAATTATCATAGCACACATAATATGTCTGTTAATCTTTGTGGAGGCTTGTATTCCTTCTAGATGAACTAACTTATTAAATTGCGGTGAGTAGAAAATGCACCTTGTCTGGTGACGAGACAATGACAGTAAGCTGAGATCACAACTAAAGGATGCGGCCAAGGCCCACCAAACAGTGTGCTGCAGTGTTATGGAGAATGTGATCTACTGATCTGTACTGGACCATCTGTTAACATGGTGAAAATGTTGTACCAAATATCAATGCGCTCTCACCTAAATCACATATGTTTATGTCTATTTAACTTCATTGTACATGAAAACAAGTGTTAAGATTCCAAGATTTTTTATTTGGTTGCAATTGCTTGAAAGATTCTTTTGTTAGAATCCTTGCCAATCATTAGCTAATAGATAATGACATGCTAGGTGGATTGTGCAGCTCCTGATGTCGGTGCGGACGATGCTTTAGGCATATGGAGAATAGATGACGCTGATAACAGCTTCTACACACAGCCATTCAGAATCAAGTATGCTCGACAAGACATCTATCTATCGGTTATGGTGTCTTTCAACATACTCAATGGTGAACAAGAGGTTGGAAATTCGAATATTAGTATTCCTTTTTCTGTTTTGAATTAACTAATTGCAGCCTTATGAGAGCACATGCTTTATTTTTTCAAGGGTCCAGCAGCTTCTGCTGTGATATTGAAGTACGAGTTAATATATGCCCCAACACTGGAAAATGGGTGAGTATAGTTCTAATTTATATCTGTATTCTTTCTTTTGAGATTTAGTTCAGTCATGTGCATCTTATGGTTTTCATTTGCCAAGACTGATGGGGCTATTGCTTCTGTTTTAGATCTGATATCCAATCTTCTAGCGCTACATCTTCAGCTGCTGTACATGAATTTAGGATCCCACGCAAAGCACTCCTGGGCTTACATTCATATTGTCCAGTTCACTTCGATGCATTCCACGCGGTGCTTGTGGATCTGACATTACATATCGTGTACCTGAAAGCTGGTGCAAATAAATCATCATTGAAGGTACACAGGTTTGTGAAGCTTTAGCTTTAATGTTCTTTGAAAATGGAGCTCCTATGCAACTTGTGTGAGGCGGTGGGTAACTAGATGCTCTGAACAACTTTCGACAAAGTCACACAACCATAGAACTAGGTTGGTACTAGAAACTGTATGGCTGGTATCCACTAGGATTCATGTTCTAGGTTTCTATTCCTGATCTACCACTTGAGATTAAACTCTACAAATGAGCGGAATTTTATTTTAACATTGTACCACAATTCCCAAGCGGTGTATTGAGAAGATCAAAAAGTCTAAATCGTTGATTTACTTTCAGCTCTTTAGGTTCATCACTTAGAAATTATATCCATCAGGCTGTAGTTTATGCTGCATTAGCAATCATGTCCCTCCGTTCCTAAATAGATGACTCAACTTTGTACTAACTTTAGTACAAAGTTGGGTCATCTATTTTGGAACGGAGGGAGTAAATGACATCAACTTTCTATCGCTGGAGAGCCAAGTAGTCCAGTATAAGTTTCCCAATTAAATGGCTCTGGCAACCTGATGGATGGTGTGATTTTATTTGTTATCATGATTACTTTCTCCTTGTAAACATGCCATTTTAATATGCAGATACCAGATCAAGGTTTACGCCCAACATCACATCACATAATCAAGGCATTATTGGCTTCGAGGGAAATGTTACTTGAAGAATTGAAGAAAATCAGTGGTGCTGTTGGCAAAACAATAGAAGATTTAGATGATGCTGACTTAAGTCTTGGTAAATATGAGTCACTTCAGTCTTCAAAACCCGTCCATCCCGATTCTGGTAAAGTTTTCCCTGTAACTACCAAGGGTGTTGGGCATTTGGCTGGCATTTTACATGACTTTCTGGAGGTAAGTTTCATCATCCTTTTTATAGTGACCTATGAATGTGTTCATGATATGGGGACCTTTTTTTTTTGAGTTGGTGTACTGGACTTGCTGATTGGAAATATTTATGCACAATTCTACAGAGACCCAACGATGTTTTTGATGGCACTAGTGATGGTATGCTGTATACTCTTTCCAGTGAAGAGTTGTTAGAATTGTTTGTAACCGTGAGCAGCCAACTTTCACTTCTATGGAATGCATTCTTGAAATTTCATAGGTGAAGTTAACTGTTCTCTCACTTTCACTTGTTTTTATACTGTATTTGCACTGTCCATGGTCCTGATGGTTTCTCAGTTAACCTATTTTTCGCAGATATCATTTGCCCAACATTGTTTTCTTGTTTCACTGCAGGATAAATAAAACTAAGATACTGGATTACTTGCGGGACATTTGGGCCGTTGACAGGAAAGCAGAATGGTCAATCTGGACTAATCACTCTAAAATCGAGATTCCACACCGCTATTTGCGGAGTATGAGTGATGACCCACCTCACCGCCAACACTCCCTCCTGAGAGTTTCTGGTTCAAGGAAGTTTCATGAAGATGTAATTATCTCCCATTCATAAGTAGCATATATTTATCACTTCTTATAATCTCTTACTAGTTTACATCTATTTGCAGCCTGTACAAAATTCTGCTTCACGGGCTGAGCTACACAGGAAGAGCATAGCCCAAATGAAGGTAACATTGTTTTCTGGAATAGTTTATGTGCACAAATATTTATTGTAAACTGTTACTAATTTGAGAAATCTTGCAGATCAACACGAGGTCTGTTCAAGATATGCATATATATGCTGATCCTTCGCGTGTACCTGTTGTTCTTATAGAACAACATGTCATGGTTGTTCCACAACATGGTTCAAACAAGGATTTGGCATCAAGTTCTTCAGAACAGAAGGATACTATTGTGCTACCTAAACTACAAGGAGAGTCTTTGGCGCTGAAAAATATCAATGGTAAAAAAGGTGGACGCGTACTACGAGCTGTCATCTTTGTGCATGGATTTCAGGCAAGTCCCATGCATCTGCTTTAATTCCCTGGAGTCACAGTATTGTTGGCTATAATTTATTGTGTTTATAAAAAGCAGGGACACCATTTGGATTTACGTCTTGTTAGAAATCAATGGCTTCTATTGGATCCTGGAGCTGAATGCCTAATGTCTGAGGCTAATGAAGACAAGACTTCTGGAGATTTTAAAGAAATGGGTGGCAGGCTTGCTGGGGAGGCTGTTGCATTCTTGAAAAAGAAAGTGGATAAGCTTGCAAGACATGGAGGCTGCAAAGAATTGAAGCTTAGTTTTGTTGGCCATTCCATTGGAAACATTATCATCAGAACTGCCTTAGCAGGTATTTCCAACTTGTCAAATTCCAGTGAATCAATCAAGCGAGTCTTTAGGTGACTAACTATATTTCTGCATCCCAATAGAACCTGCATTGCAGCCATACTTGAAGAACCTCTACACATACATGTCGATATCAGGGCCTCACTTAGGTTACTGGTACAGCTCAAATTCTTTGTTCAATTCTGGTCTCTGGCTTCTAAAAAAGCTTAAGGGGGCACAATGCATCCATCAACTTACTTTCAGTGACGATCAAGACCCCCAGAATACCTTTTTTTATAGGCTTTGCAAGGTACACCCTGCTTCATTCTGGAATGTACTCGCTGCCAACTTATGTACCAGATACATTTTCCAGTAAGAATTAACCATGAAGTATTCTTGTTGTTTTCTTCCTTCAGTCGAAGACACTAGAGAACTTCAAAAATATCATATTGTTATCGTCACCACAGGTTAGTCCATTTTGTCCTTTTGAACGACTTCAATTTACCCTGAGGATCTGAACTATAAGCTGGGTGCTCCATGTCACTCACAAGTCATGATGTATTTCTTTGATCTACCAGGATGGGTATGTACCATATCATTCAGCAAGAATCGAGCTCTGCCCAGCTGCGTCGGCTGATAATTCAAGGAAAGGTCAAGTCTTCACAGAAATGCTGAATAATTGCTTGGATCAGATGCGTGCACCGTCGTCTGAAACTCGTATATTCATGAGGTGTGATGTTAATTTCGACCAATCTGCCCATGGACGGAACCTGAACACCATGATCGGCAGAGCAGCCCACATAGAATTCCTGGAGACTGACATCTACGCCAGGTTCATCATGTGGTCCTTCCCTGAACTTTTCCGATGACGATGACAATGTTCTCTCCCTCTTATTTGGGATGGCATGATGTTCCAAACCAAACCAAACCAAAACCTGGATACTGCACTACTGACCAAGAAAGGAATATAAAGGTTTCGTCACCAAGATGGATAGCACTGTAAAGTTCCCTAGCAGTAACATTTTGCCAGTTTGTTAGATTTGATTTGTATAAATAGTCGATTTGTTCATTTCGATTTATAGCCCTGTAGATGTGCCGTCAGGTCTTGATAATCCAACGTCGTCTGGTGTGGTGTATTTTAACGCTGCCAGCCAGTTTAGAGGGCCAAACAGCCAGTGAGCTTATGTCAAATAAGCATGACATGTGTTTTATTTTCTCTTAATGATCACTACATCAGGCAGAGATCATTGTCTGGTTCTTGCCATGTCATGTTGATTTGTAACTGAATGTTGAGGATTCATTGGATGACGGAGAGTGTGCAGTCAAACTTGTATGAAGGACTTTTGTTGTACAAATATATTATTGAGATTGTAAGAATCAAAATAATATTCATCATCGTATTTGTTAATACGTACTCTCTTATTTTCAGTGATCTAAACGCTTTTTTTAGAGGGAGTATTTCTTTTCCATCTCTACCGAATAGCTAATGATAAAGGGTGTTGGTGTCCGAAGGTTTGAGGTCTTCTTTGCTTCATAGTATAGGAATATATCATACAAATAAGAAACTATAGAAAATGAGATGGCACGTATGAGTGATGTCACTTAATTAATTAATTGATGTGATAGAAACTTTTTCATCTGGTATAGGCTAATATTTGTTTTTTCTTTCAAATGTGAATGATAGGCTTTTATTCCACGTAAGAATAGAAATCCATTCCTCCAATCAAATGACTTCCAAGGATTTTTCTCTATAAAATTCTTATCTTCCAGAATTCCTATAAGGCTTGAAGCTTAAGGTGAGTGTTTTTCTAGATTATAAGGCCTCATTTGGTGTCCGTGTTTTTCTACTCCCTCTGTCCAATAATATAAGACATTTTTATAAGCTAACATAGCTTGCAAAATCGTCTTATATTATGGGGGACGAAAGGAGTAGATTATAAGAGCACTACAACCGGGCTTTGTAAACTCGATCCCTCTAATGCCCGCCGATACTAACCGGGCACTCCCTAAATCCGCGCCTCCATACCGCATATCTCATATCCGACATCCTATATCCATATAAATTCATGCGACGTAGTACGTGGAAACAAACTTATAAACCAATATCGAACGAGCATAATCCACATAAACATCACCAAAAGATCATAAAACGTGCATAGTTGACACAGTTCAATGAAGGTTGAGGAGGTCGTCGGGCAGGCAGAGCAGATTGGGTAGGCCGCGCAGATCAGCGCGCGGGGCGGGAAGCGTTGGTGTCAGCGCTGTGGCGACGAGCGACAGGAGGCGTCGCACCGGACCCGGTGCTGCCGCCCGTATCGACCCGCTCGCGCTCGAGCGCGATAAGGAGCGCCATCTCGTACTCATCTCCGGAGCTGCCGTCGGAGTGGCTGCCGGTGCTTGACATGCTCGCCGGTGCTAGTGATTGGACGGATTGGGGAAAGGGGAGCGTTGGGGAGTGGAGCAGAGCAAAGTGAGCTAGGGTTTGCTCCGGAGGGGAATTTTGTGGGGTCGGGGTGGGCCAGCGGTGTGCCGGGCTGACGTAGCGGACACGCCCGGGCCGCCTCATATCCACCTTATATTTGGGCTGGATATGAGGGATGCCGGTCAGCCCGGACTTTGTCCGCGGTTTGAGAGCTCCGATTGGGTCGGTTTTTTGTGACCGGTCAGTGACCGGACGTCCTGCTCGGACGTTTGAGACGTGTTTGAGAGGTCCGGCTGTAGATGCTCTAAGGCCTCGTTTGGTCCATACGGTAGAAATATCATATAGGAATAGGAAAAAAAAAGATGACATATATCTCAATTTCTATGAGGAAAAGACATGTCGTTTGATGCATCCGATAAGAACTTTTACATTGAGTCTAAGCTAATTTTCCTTTCTTTAATATGTGAAGTATTTGATTTTCTATTCTACTACCTCTGTATCATAATATAAGACATTTATATTCGAGAAAATAATATAAGACATTTTACACTTCTACTCCCTCCGTCCGAAAATACTTGTCATCAAAATGGACAAAAAAGATGTATCTAGAACTAAAATACAACTAGATATATTTTCTTTTATTCATTTTGATGACAAGTATTTCCGGACGGAGGGAGTATATTATATGCTATGGAGGTAGTACATAGGAATATGAATTCATTCATACAAAGCAAAGGGCTCCAAAGTCTACAACCTTCCGTTCGGAAATAGATGATGCTGCATAAAATGTTTATCCTTTAGAATTCCTATAAAATTCATGCAAAGACTAAATTCTAAGTAAAAAGTTTTCCAACCTAGAGTTAAGTAGGCGGGGCGTAGATTTTTCTTGTTTGAGTTGGATGCCGGGCGTAGATCATCTCACGTAAGTGATGTGACTTGGGATTACTGACATGTCTTGTTCGCGGGCCGACGTGTGCTTAAGCGAGTATCTGTCGTTTTCTTTGTTTCCTTGGGTGGTGGTTGTGGTGCGTAGAGAGGAGGATGGAATGTTTCTTGCGGGCCGAACATGCTGCCGTGGAGGAGGAGTAGAAAGAAGACCAACGCGGTAAGCAGCTTGGACTGTTGAAAGTTGATGATCCTATTCCTGCCTCACCTTGCCCTGGCTCCCAGCCCCAGCCTCAGGTGTTTGTTTCATGTTGAGGAGCACCAGGAAAGTCAAGGCCGAGAAGGAGCACCTGCCACCGGACCGGGTCGTCCGGTCCTTCCTGCCGACCTCCGGGGGGATTCATCTGTCATCGCTGCTGTCGCCGTCGTCGCCGACGAATTCCAGATGCAGAGGCAGTTTAAGTTTAAGGAGGAGCCCCCCGACGTACAGAGTCCACAGGACATTCGTCTTGAGCCTCCCCTCGTGGTGGCATAGGAGCGGAGAGCTGTCTGTCTGTCTGCCTGTCGTGGGCAGGCACGACATGCCGCCATGTTTGGCTTGGCTGCACGTCTGAATCCGGGCGAGCAGTAGGTGCATTTTAACGTTGACTCCAAACCCAACCCAGGTCGCAGCATAGCATCATTCCTTTCCTGCTGGCTGGGGTGGGTCACGTCAGTTCAGTTAGGCCAAGACGACCACCGGCAGGACAGACGACGGGTCCATCCATCTCCGTGGTGCCGGCGCCCTCTGATTTGGTCTTTCCTTCTCATAGGACCGCTCCGATCACATCACCAGGGTAACAGTACCACGGCAGCAGATAGACAGGGCTCGCGCCATCACACGGTTTAAGCATGGCCCAGCCCCAACCCAGTCCGTTCCATTTACAGCTCAACGCAGCAGCGCAGGAGGCTACCTGTAACCAACAACACTATGCTGCCATTTGTGCTGCTTTGCTGATTACTTCCTCCGTCTCATAATATAAAAACGTTTTTGACACTAGTCTAGTACACTAGTGTACACAGAGGACAGAGAGAGTACAATTTAGATTAGATGATGCAATGGCCGCAAGCTTATAGGACAGGAACTTGTCCCACATCATTCCTCCATGCTACACCTCCATCTCATCCAGTCTCTATTCTGCAAAGCTGGTAGGTAAGAGAAAAGAAAGATGCAACGCGCTTCTTTTGTTTCATGTCATCAGCCACCAGCATTAAATTAATGTCATAAGAAAGACACAGAAAAAAAACTAAGTTAAAAAAGTATTCCTAGTCCTTTTCTTACTCCTACTCCTAGTAGGGAGTAAGAGAATTCCAACACACCGACCCATTTCGTCCGCGCGTGTTCGTTTGGATCGCCGTGGACAGAAAAATCGACCCTCCGTGCTGGCCCAAAAAGACACGTGTTCTCTTTTCGTCCGCCTGGCCACCCATTCGTGGCCCAAATTTGGGTCTCATTTGCGTCGGCACGGACACGAAGCGGACGCGCGCGACGCACGCTTACTCCCCTCTGGCCCGCCAGTCGGTGGCACATTGGCCATTCTCTTCCACTCTCATCGAGAGCAAGCCCTCGCCCGCCCCACTCCGTTGCCGCCGCCGCCCAGTTCTGGTACCCCTGCCAGTAGTCCGCGCCCACACACCTCCCCCGCACACCACCACCTCCCACGTCGCCGCCACCACCACCTCGTCGCCG